ATTTGATGCTTATTTGTAATAAATAAATAATTCAATCATTGAATTCATTAGTCAATTGAAGCTAGATCACCATGGAAAGGTAATCAATTCTTATGGCGAACTGTCATCAGAATTGATTACCTCAAGTGGTGTTCGTCAGGGCTGTCCACTCTCCCCATTCTTGTTCAACTTTGTCATTGACGTACTTTTAGAGATAACACTCTCCTCATCTAAATTTCCAGGGGTTGAACTTCTACCAGGAGGTTCACTTGTTGACTTAGAATATGCAGATGATATAGTTTTATTTGGTGAAGACGCTGACAAAATGCAGAGTCTTCTGACCACTCTAAGCAACAATGCAAGCATGTTCGGGATGCGATTCTCTCCCTCGAAGTGCAAAATGTTGCTTCAGGATTGGGTTACATCGACACCCGAACTAGTGATGAGGAGTGAAGTAGTTGAGTGTGTCGACCGCTTCACTTATCTTGGAAGTCTCATCAGCCCTTGTGGTCTGGTGTGTGACGAAATCTCAGCACGGATACAGAAGGCTCGACTAGCTTTTACCAACTTGCGTCATTTATGGCGTAGGCGAGATATCCGTCTATCAACCAAAGGACGTGTTTACTGCGCAGCAGTTCGTTCCGTCCTACTTTATGGCAGTGAAACATGGCCGGTAAGAGTAGAGGATATTCGTAGGTTATTAGTATTCGATCATAGGTGTCTTCGAAATATTGCCCGTATATCCTGGGACCATTGAGTAAGTAATGCAGTTGTTAGGAAACGGGTACTAGGTAAGGATGGCAAATCAATTGATGACGTAGTGAAACTTCATCAGTTGAGGTGGCTGGGACACGTGTTACGTATGCCCAACGACCGACTACCTCGACGTGCTATGTTCAGTGGTATAGGAGTAGGTTGGAAGAAAGCTAGGGGCGGCCAGATCAAAACATGGAACAAATCCATGAAGTCACTGACAAGTGGACTGGGCCATGTTAGTTGGTGTAGACAACCTGGTTGGGGACCGCGAGATGATAGCAACCGATGGTTAGAGACCCTGAATGACATGGCTCAAAATCGTTTGCAATGGCGCAGGTGCATCCACTTTTTGTGTTCTCCCAAATTCTAATCTTCTGAATTCTTCATGTCCCTTTTTTCCTCTTTCCAAATTTATTTCACTGGATTATACTCTTTAAATAACATCTCCAAACCCTAATCTTCCCGATTACTGCTTATACTCTTATTACATCTACCACTACGGGATTTGAATCGACAAGTGCATCTCTGTGCTAATGTGGTGTGGCAACTCGAACTGATGTACATACGTACGAAGTTCTACGTTGTTACTGACTGACTGACTGACACCATGGAAAGCTTGGAAGCAATTGATGATAGTTTCATCCTAGTATTGTGACTCGTCAGCAGTGCACATCCACGATCCCGCCAACCACGAGATTCGAACCCAAAACCTATCAGCCTCTTAATTTCTTTTTTTATATGTGGAATTTTATCATCATGCAATAAGTATACTAATAATGTGTCACGTCAAGTTCACTAGCTCAAAGAGTCAATTCTGTTATAGTTTCAATTCACTTTAGAATATCATAAATAGAATCACAGTATGGATAGAGGCTAGCAGTGGAATTCAGTTTAACGCACATTTCGTCCTATTTGAGACTCATCAGCTGGTGGATGCATTTGCATTCCATCATTGCTGTTCATCAAGTGAATTTTACAATGACAGTATAATGAATGCAACATGGTAGATTCATCAGTAAAATAATAGAGTTAATCCATTCTCTTTCATTTAACTGTCCTAATTATAGATTTCTTTTCTTTCTTTCATTGATTTTCAATCGATTATCTATTAATGGTTTGTGGCTATTTTTTTGTTGTTGAGAGTGATAGAGAGTGATTGTCTATAACAGACATAAGAATCCTTCTTTTATATTGTCTATTATAGTGTAATGCATTCAGTATTGAACTCTCTCTCTCTATTTCTCTCCATCATTCTTAGCCTCTTGTTATCTATATGGTACATTAAACATTTTACCTATGCCTTATTAGGTTTGGGTCAATAGGTCATTTATTTATGGAATGAATTAGGCATGATGAGTTTAGTCAGTTAATGAATATACATACATATATGTAAAGATGTATATAGGGAGATAGAGATAGATAGAGATAGAGAGAGACTGTGTAAACATTCAATAGTTTTTCATGTCTAACTAATAATAAACAGAAGATATTACTGTCAACTACAATTGTGGTTTATTTTAAGTTTCTACAAAATCCATAACTACGCTTAAATAGAACAAGAGGGAGAGCGAGAGTAGGAGAGAGAGAGTAAGAGAGTCTGACAAAGTTCATAGAGATTTGTTGACTCTAATATATTGATCTATAATGGTTATCATCATCAGCATCATCTTATCTATTACAGTTTAATCTATACAACTGATATATAGATCATGAGGAAATTGATTTCCATTTTGTTTGGTTGTTGTTGTTGTTGTTGTTGGGAGAAATGACTAAATAATGTTGCATTCACCTTGTTTAGTCGAGTAGATTCTGTTGTTGGTGTTGTTGTTGTTTATGGTTGACCTATTTTACATTCATAACCTTCGTTACACATACATATCATATTGGTTGTGTATATTGTAAAAGGGATTTCCTATTGACTTGAAATGACCAATTTTTTTGTTGTTGACTAAATGCATTATGTACTGCATATATATTGTAAAATGAAATCAATAAACTTTGGTTTCAACGAATGATTATTAGTAATTGAGGCGTTAAATAATCATCCATTTACAGTAAGTAAACAGATAGATGAAATCAAATATGGATAGTGGCTAGCAGTGGAATCCAGGATGCGCGTTTCGTCCTGTTTGGGACTCGTCAGCTGGATGTACCTGCATCTTAGAGTTGATGTTCACTCTGGGACTCGAACTCAGTAACGTTCGCTTCAAATGCCATCGCGTTATCCACTTAGCTACTGAGTCCTGATAACCACTTGCTTGTGCAATGGGTTGAAGTTTAATTCACTTGATATTGTTTTACTTGAGTTCGAATCCCAGAGTGAACATCAACTCTAAGATGCACGTACATCCAGCTGACGAGTCCCAAAAAGGACGAAACGCGCGTCCTGGATTCCACTGCTAGCCACTATCCATCTTTGTTTATAATGCTTGTAAATTAAGGCAATATCGAGGCATAAGCACAGTATGCATATATGCCAATAAGAGACTGATCAATTTCAGTCCTAAAAACATCAATGGGAAGATTCAAATAAAACAATGGGAAGATTCAGATAAACAATAAAAGATGAGTAAAACCTTCACCCCAATGTACAAACTGGTGGCTAACTGAACTCAATAGGTAAGTGGATGACATGATGGAGTTTGATGTGAACTGTACTGGGTTCGAGTTCCAGAGTGAATATCAACTCTGATGCAGATGCATCTAACTGACGAGTTCAAATAGGACGAAACCTGCATTCTAGATTCTACTAATAGCCACCACTCATCTTTGCTTATAATGCTTGTGACTGAAGACAATATCGAGGCAGTTCGTACAGAATACACATATGCCAATGATAAGAGACTGACTGATAACCAAAATACAATGATAAAACTATTCTGTTTTAATACCAGAAGGGGTTTTGTGGATATTAAAGCAATTTTAATAGTTCAGATTGAGTCATTTGAAGCTAGACCACCATGGAAAACCTGGTAGCACTGGACGGTCGCTTCGTTCTATTGTGGGACTCCTCATCAGTGCTCACCCACGATCCCGTTCGCCGAATTCGAATTCAGGACCTATCAATACCATGCAAAGCCTGAAAACACTCAACGATCGTTTCGTAATAGTACGTGACTCCTTAACAGTGCGTATATATGACTCGAACTCACCAACTTCAGTCTCACGTGGGAACACTGAACCATTGGGCCGGCCGGGATGTAACGATGTTAATGTCTAACTTCAGCTAATCCCTGAATTGAGCCACTATCCACCATTGTCTTCAGTGAGTTACTATGTCACAACAGACATGGCTGAATCCCATCTGTCACTAGTTCTCATTAGAACTTTGAGAAATATCTCTTGAAGCTAGTCAGTAGTGAGCATATTCTGATAAATATCAGAAATGGGTTTTCGTGGATACTATAGTAATTTAATAGTTGAGATTATGACTCAATTTTACTCAACTAATTAACGTGACATTGTACTCACGATCAAATACATATAAGACTGAATTAATATTTCTCTATGGAATAGATTAAACTATTAGAGTTGGGATTTAATAAACCCTTAGATTTTCCAACTTGAGTCAATTCTGAATATAGAATAACTATGGTTTAGTCAACACAATCAACTCAGTCTTGTATAAACGTGCGTCGGTCCAATGGACTGTACAAGATCAACACGAGATCATACTACTAATATTGCTTGATCGATAGAATTTGATCAGAACTGACAGGACTAGACAGTCATTATTAACAATCCCTATATAACTTAATCTCACAAGTAGTCAATCGCTATCTGAATACCCTAGCAGTATGCTACAATGTGATACCGGCTGACGCGAGTTCGTATTCTACAGGGAGTATCGTTATCGTTAAGCTTTTGGTTATGCTTTGTTGAAAAGCTTCAAGTATAACGCAATCTCTGTCAAGAAGGGTTTCCTATTTAAGACCTTCAATCACTGGGTTTAGATTCTTTCAGTCTTTATGTGTTGATTAATCTGATCTAATATATGTGTGATTCCATAAAAAGAAATTTCGTCATAATGATTAACATGGTTTGAAATCTGTAAAGAGACATTAGTTCCATCAAGCTTACATAATACTAACGTATTCCTGCAGAATGTATCTATTTGAGTAGCCGGTGGGGGGGGTAAAATTGTTGAGATTAACCGACTAAATGTCTGTTATACTAATCTTTTCTTATCAAATCTTCTTTTGTTCTTTGTCATGGCTCATCGATGATTTCTTATTCTGATTTGTAATTGTTTTTTTTCTAAATAGCTATTTGCGCAACATATACGTCGTAATGTTCTACGTGTTTTCAGTGATGCATCAAATTCTGTTATAAGTCAACAATTAGGAGATTTATGGCGTACTGTTCCAAGAAGTTGCCGTAATCAGTACGATGATGAAGCGAATAGATTAGTGAAAATTCATCAAATTGAATTTCCCAATTATAAATATCAACCTAAAAAACGACAAATCACATCATCGTCATCATCATCCTCATCATCGTCAACAACAACAACAACAACCACCACAACCACTGCGAATACATCAAGGAGTAATAATGATCAAATGCGTATGCTTAATCCAAATCAATTCCATAACACCACACACACTCTTACTCAATCATCTATATCAATGAATAATATACGAGAGGATCAATTGATAACATCAAGCAAATTATTATCAACCAATTTACTTAAAACTGGTACGGACTACAATGTTGTTTCTTCTTCGTCTTCATCGGCGGCGTCGTCTTCTTCTTCTTCTTCCTCTTCTTCAACTGTCACAAATAAACTACCAACTTTATCTAATCGTAATTATTCCATACCCGGTATATCATCTATGAATAGTTCTGTTGTTAAGGGTCAAACTACCAATGGTAATCATGAATTCATGAATAATTTTATGACAAGTCCATCCAAATTAGTATGTAATACAATTTATGCTAAATTAGAACCGAAACCATTGAGTGTGAATATTATCAATACTACTAATAATAGTAGTATACCTATGAATAACAATAATAATACTATTAACAGTAATCAAACCTTATCATTCAAACCAACTATACATAGTTTATCATCAGTGTTACCACCTCTTATAACTTTGTCATCAAATCATCATCATCATGCACATCATCATCATCAAACAAATGGATTAATGAATGAACAATTTTCAATTGGTATATGTGATTCAGCCTATGCATCTGGAATTAATAGTTCATCATCATCATCAGCAGCATCATCTCCAGCTGTAGGTGAATTAATTTCACCAGCAAAATCATATTCATCAACTTTTTCATCACTTTCATCATCATCATCATCATCAACATCATCATCATCATTATCCAATATGAATATAAAACAAACGAAACAATCACCAATACGACGTAAAATTCATTTTATACCAATTAGACCACAATCACAACAATTACCACCTGTTGGGAATCAACCAACACGTCAACGTTTTCTTTCTGCAAATAATGGTATTACTACTACTAATAATACTACTAATAATAGTAATATATCAACTATTGGAAATGGTTATATTCAAATGAATGGTTTTCAATTTAAATCCAACTCTGAAAATGTTATTATACTACCAAGAAAACTAAATGATTTACATGTTGAACAAAAAGATGATCAATTAACGGATGAATTCATGAATGATACTCTTATACTTCAAGAGAACAATAATGATAATAATAATAGAATGGTAACAACTGATATTCTAACACCAGTTTATATTCAATTAGATCATGAAGGACAAAATCCACTGACAGAAGGTTTAATGTTAACTTTACCACCTGGTACAACATTCATTCAAACGAATCATGATTCTATAAATCGTGGTATTCCATTGAATAATAATCATAATAATAATACAATATCAAAACGATTTTATATTACGAATAGTAATCGTATGTTACCAGCTATATCGAAATCGGTACAAATTTTACAACCATTAAAAGTAATGAATGTTATACATCATCATCATCATGTTCATCCAAATCATTCATTATCATCATCTTCAACAACAACAACATCAGCAACAGCAACAACAACATCATCATCATCATTATTATCATATCCAGAACCTATTCTATATAGTCCATTAATGAGTAGTTCAGAATTATTATCTTCATCATCATATAGTTGTAATTCATCACCGAATTCAATTGTATCACCATTATCTGGTGATGTATTTCTACCAATGCAACAAGTTGAAATGATGTCAAATTCTACACATTTCAATACATATGATCAACAATCAACATGTATGGATATATATCAATTTGATGGACAAAATCAATTAGATATGTGTATAGAAGAAGAAGAAGAAGAACAAAGGGTACAGGTAGAAGAAAGTGAACAAATCCTTGTTGATGAAAGAAGAATGACACAACTTCATTCAAAGAATTTAGATACAATCACCAATATTATTAGTATAGATGAATGTATGGATGCTGTAAATAATGATACATTTATAAGTAATACAAATTCTTCAGGTATTCTACATAATTGGTCATCAAATTTACCATTTAGTGAATCCATGGTAATGTCATCTTCAACATCCACATCCACATCATCATCATCAGGTTCATTATTATCATCCATTGGATCATCGTCATCATCATCTTCATCATCGTTACCATTAACAACAACAAAAACAATGATCACTATGAATAATAATGATTATGATCATAATGAACATGATGAGGGTATAGGTGCTTCAAATCGACATATACCATTAACTATTGATATTATGAAATCAATAAATGAAAATTTCATCACATTATCATCTACATCTTCATCAACGATCACCACTTTAAATCCTCCGCCTAATCATCATCATGATCATCATCATCATCATCCACATCATCTTCATCATAATAGCAGTATATCTATTGATAATGATTTAAATGATACTGATTTCTCTATTACAAATGATAATGATAATTTTGATTCAAGTTTTGATGCAATGATGAATTCGATTGATATTACAACTTTTCTACCTGGTACATTTCAAACAAATGAAGAACAAGATCAATCAATACATAATGATTATGATCATGTACAATTAAATTCATATCATCATAATCAACATGAATTCATGAAAATGGATGAATTTGATGAATCATGTCATATCATCAATGATGTCATAGCAACAACAACAATAATGCCAATAACAACAACAACAGTAGCAACAATAGCATCATCATCAGCAGCCACAGCAACAGCGGCATCATCATCATCGTTTATGAATAAACCGACTAATTCACAATTATACAATGTTATTAGATCTGATATTGATTTGATTCATTATAATCATTTAGAGAATGAAAATCGTACAGTACGTATTATTTCACCATTACAAAAAATTGGTAAACAATCATCACTTACATACTCACATCCAATATCATCATCATCATCATCATCATCATTACAAGGAACACAATGTTCCACCTCTCTATCATCATCCTCATTATCCACCTCATCATCATCATCATCATCATCATCGTCAACTTCATCGGTATTAAGAATGAATTCATTACATGAATTATTAAATAATTCACCACAAGTATGTTCATCTACATTGGCAGATTTGGATTCATTAGATAAATCTAGTTTATTTATTATTAAACCAGAATGGTCTGTATTCGCTTAAAACAATATGAATAATAATTATCATGAAATTATTGAATTATTGATTCATACAACTTGTATATTGAATTGATTGATACATAAATCTATCTACAAGTCTATACAATCTATTCTTTCCCTCCTCCTCCTCCTCCTCCTCCTCCACCACCACCTTTTTCTTCTTCTTCTTCCTCTTCTTCTTCTCTATTTGTTTCTCTGGGCATATCCTAATTATATAACTCAGGTGGTTTATCTCAGTTACATTTTATTTGTCCATGTTTTTTGTTGTTGTTGTTGTTTTTTTGGTACTCGTTCAATTTAGTATTTTTCAATCCATTTCAACATTTTACTTTTTTTTGTTTTTTTTTCTACTTTTTTTTAAAAAAAAATTTTCCAAACAAATCGTTTTCTTTACATAAAATTTTGTTGGTGTTGAAAGAACAAAACACAGGTAATATATAATTTTTGTGTTTCCCCACACTACATCACACCACACCACACCAACCCCTACCCTTCAATGCCCAACACCACCACCACCACCACCACCACCCCTTCATCAATTTAATATCTTCACATATTCTTATTGTTGACATATTATTATTTGATGGAAGCATTTAAACAAATCAATAAATCAATAAACAAACAAGTCATAAATCTTATTGATTATTGAATAATAATAATAATAATAATAATAATAATCATAATCATGTGCATTAAATTATTTTGTACATATGATAATTCAATGATTCAATTTTGTTGCCATGCTCCTTTTTTTTTAAAAAAAAATCTTTTCAGGTTGTACAGTATAACACACAGACACACACACACACACACAATCAATATTTTCTCCTTGTGCTTTCTTTATTCACTTTTTTGTTTTTGTTTTTTTTTCTAAAAAAAAAAGAAATAAAATGGAACTTACATCATCAATATAAGTAGTATGGTTAGTAGTCATAGTAGTCGTAGTAGTATAAATGCTACTTTAAATATTGGATACTAAAGTTTTCTTAACCGTCTCTTTTTGTTGTTGTTGTTGTTGTTGTTCTTGTTGTTGCATTATAACTTTTGATAAGATTGAGATTTAGTGAATAATACATCTATACATAAATCTATTGATCAATTGAATATATCTCAGGACAATTCATTTCTATTTTATGCTTTACTACGTATAGTAGACAGTTTTACATACACACACACACACAAACACACACACTCTCTCTGTCTCTGTGTCTTTGGTTAGTTACTATTTCAGCCTTTTATTGATATAATCTTACCATGTAGTATTATTAATAACCATAGTAATCATCAAAAGGATTGTTTCAGTTTTATTAAATTGTACAGTATTCATTCGATTCTTGTTTTTCTTTTTTTTTAATAAACTTTATTTTCTATACAAATGAACAATGATTCTGATTATATGAATAAAATATTTGTTGACTAGTCAGGTAATTCATTGAAATCAAGGATCTTGTTTTACTTCTTTTTTTTTTTGTTTTTCTATTTCTATTTCGGCGGGGAACAAAATTGATCCTTTTACATTCACTGTCTCAGGTGACTTCATTATGATGATTATTACGTAATATTTAGTTACTTAGTTGTATGTTCCGTGAAACTTCTTTTAACGAATCTAATTATTTTTGAAAGCATTTTATTATTTTTTTTTCTTTTTTAAAAAAAATTGTGTGTGTGTGTGTGAAGGGGGGGGTATGTTCTCAGTATTTGTTACTATGGTTATTTTCTGTATGTTTCTTCGTGTGTCTGTGTGTGCGGTTCCGCATTCTTTTTTGGGATATGGAAATCGATCAATCAATCAGTTCCCCCCTCCTTCTCTTCCCCCCTTCACTCAACGATACACTTATTTATTCGAATGAACTAATAATAATAATAATAATAATAATAATAATAATAATAATAATAATAATAATAAAGGACCTTTCATATTCAGGGTTTTTATTACAATTATATAATCGATAATAATCTTTTTTTTTAAATTATTGTTGTTGTTGATTTCTTTATTGGCTTTCTCTGTTTGTTTGTTTATTATTAGTGATTTAAATGAATGATTATGATGAGTATGGTTTTATTACTGCTGAAGTTCGACAATCATAATGATGATGTTCATTATATACTACTTATCTCTACATCATTTGTTATATACATTTATTATACATATGCATATATCTATGATAACCAACATTGTAATATTTTATGAATTGCCTTTTCTTTTTCTAAACAAAATGAAAAAAATAATAAAATTTTCAATTGAATTAATTAGAGTCTACTTTATTCTTTTGTCACAGAGTTGACATTAGGTTGAAGTACTTACTTACTTACTTCGGTTAGTCCTCGTGAAGGAGCATAAGCCGCTCACCAGGATTCTCCATCCAGTTCCTATTCATCAGTATATAAGTGGATAACGCGATGATGTTTAAAGTGAATGGTACTGGGTTCGAGTATCAGAGTGAACATCAACAAATCTGAGATGCAGTTATATCCAACTGATGAGTAGTCCCGAATAGGACGAAACGTGAGTCAAACTGGATTCTACTACTAGCCACTATCCATTAAGTTTGAAGTATACTATGATTTTATTATTTAGTTATTTAAACACAAGGTGGTATCAAGTAAATCATTTGATTTGTTTGCGTTGGTTGTGACACTGACCGGGTGCCCAAACCGAAGCAGGTAGTTTCCTTTGGAGGGCCACATTCGGAGCCTTTGACCTAAAGATTTAATCCATAAGGCAATGGAGCGACGTCAGGGAATGCAGTCTTATAGTAGTAGGTGATAGAATGATTGGTTCATATGCCATTTATTCCTTTAGGATCCTGGAGTTCATGTGAATCATTGGTTTGAAATCAGGATTTTCCAACTTTCCTAGGTTAACTCTCCGTGTTCACAAGCTCGTTTAAAGTGCCAAACATTCTCTTTTCGTCTTCTTAATTTCTCAAACAACAGTAATATTGCGAGAAGTCAGTGAGTAGGACTTCCTTGGTAGTGGTTGTATGCAAGTGGCTATGTGAAAGCATTTCAACAAGGAAGTATACTATGATATTAAACATGAAATTGTAAAGAATACAACTGAATTAGTGAGAGTGGTTTCAGGATATGTTACCTAATTCACTATTTCTACATGTGTCATAGTTCATGTTATGATATGGACTATAGTTTTCTGAGTTAGTAGAACAATCTTTATGAAAGAAATAACAATGATCTATAAGAAGTAGTGAATAGGTGATTATATTTTCAGTTTTGACATTACGTTTAACAACATGTGAGTGAATTAACTTTGGAATAATGTCAGTGAACTCTGATCTTGTGTTTTTAAGGAATAACTGATCATCTCGAAGGTTAACGATTCTGGGTTCGACTCTCTGAGAGGTTGTGGGTCATTGCTGTTCATTAGTATCCTACTAGGACGATGTATTTGTTCGATTCTCCATACTCTTCATTGGTCCTTCAAATAATACTAATCTGTAACAGATATAATATATAAATAAGCCGATATATGTTAATCACTGAATCGAATGTATATAGTTTAATAGATGATATTGAAACCTTTGTAACTAAATCATCGTACTGACAGCTTGGAGACTCGATTTAAGTACATTCAATATAATCTACGACTATCTTATTGAAGCTAGAGAAAGGTAATACTTGTTAAGACCTCCAGAAATTTAAACAATATTGAACCGTTTAATACATTAGTTGAGTTTATGAAAATAAGTTTACCAATCCATCTTTAATTCCTTAATACCACATAGATACTAGTTAATGAGACTTTGTCAATGTACAATTGAAGGTATAAAATGTGTTATATCTTGTGGCCATGTGCTCTATTAATAAATAACGTAATGTTATCACCAATTAGAGAATGGTGACTTATCAACCGGACCAATGATGCATAAACCTGTATGAGCAGTCTAGAGTCTTTATCAGTCCTTGCTTCCTGTTAAACCCTGCCTGTTAAGTCCAGAATACTAATCTCAGACTCCACAATATGTATTTTAAACATTACTTACTTACTTAAGACTGTTACTGCTAATGGAGCATAGGCCACCGACCAGCATTCTCCAACGCACTCTCTCCTGGACCTTCTTTTCTAGTTCCATCCAATTCTTGTTCATCGTTCTTATGTCTGTCTCCATTTCTCAATGTAATGTGTTCTTCGGTCTTCCTCTTTTCCTTTAGCCTTGAGGATTCCTTGTGAGGGCTTGTCTTGTGACGCAGTTGTGTGCTTTCTTTAATGTGTGTCCTATCCGCTTTCAGCGCTTTTTCCTGATTTCTTCCTCTATTGGAATCTGGTTTGTTCTCTCCCACAATAGGTTGTTACTGAGTGTCTGTCCAACAGATCCGAAGTATTTTACGTAGACATCTGTGAATAAACACTTGCATTTCCTGAATGATGGGTTTCATAGTTCTCCAAGTTTCCGCATCATACAATAGAACTGTCTTCACATTTCTGTTGAAAATTCTGACCTTGGTGTTGGTCGACAGATAGTTGTTTTGGGTTCCAGATATTCTTCAGTTGTAAATATACTGCTCTTGCTTTACCGATCCGCGCTTTCACATCTGCATCAGATCCACCATGCTCATCAATGATGCTGTTCAGATATGTAAAGGATTTTACATCTTCCAAATCTTCTCCATCAATTGTAATTGCATTGCTGCATGTTGTGTTGTATCGGAGAATCTTGCTTTTCCCTTTGTGTATATTGAGACCTACTGCTGTTGAGGCTTCTGCTACACTGGTCGTTTTCTCCTACATTTGTTGTTGCGTTTGCGATAGAAGAGCCAAATCATCTGCGAAGTCTAGATCGTCCAGCTGCATCCTAGCTGTCGACTGTATCCCATGCTTCCCTTCAGATGTTGACGTCTTCATGATCCAGTCGATCACCAGGAGAAAGAGAAAGGGTGAGAGATTTTAAACATACTGGATTTATTATATAAAAACCAACTTGACCACATCGTACTACAAAATAGAAAACAACATTTGTACAAGATCTAGCCAAAAAATAACTGTGAATATGGGAAATAGTAATTAATAGACTGCGTATAACTTAAGACCGGCTTATGCTCCATTGAGAGTAACAAGCGTAAGAAAGTAAGTACGTATAACTTAAGAACGGTAAATCGTATAATAAAAGTCTATAGGGCAAAATAAAGCTTATAATAAGAGGGATATATATATATATATATATATATATATATATATATATATATATATATATATATAATCTAGTTACTGACTAGTCATACCATAAAAAAGATGTGCATCGTATTAGTTCAAGAAGTGGATCTCAACAGCTACCATTCATAATTCTCGTCTGGATATAAGCGAATGCTTCTATGTTTTCTTTCAATGACCTATTTTTGTGTTAGATATTAGGCGAAAAACTAAGATTTGTAATTGTTTTTAACTCAAGCTTATAATAAACCGACTGTTGTTGCTACGTTGACGTGGTGGTCGAGTTTGCTTACCGTGATGAACCAATCGAGGTAAACTGGTTGGAACAATCGTCCCTCAACGTCCTACCATGTCAGACAGGTCGGTTGAAGAACTGTAAGACTGAAAGCAGCAAACCCAAGGTTCGAAGGCGAGGCTGTATTTCTGACTGTACAGAAGTGTGATGGCAGTAAGATGTTTCCTTTAGACATCCAGTATCTGCAGCGATGCTACCTTCTCACAAGGAGAGGTGGAGTTAGAAAAGATCGACCGTAAAAAATGCACACCTCGCCTTATCCCACGCGTATCCGTCTCCGATGGTAAGGTTTCAACAAGTACGGGGCTGACATGAAAATTACTCACAAAAAGGTCGTGTGTGACCGATCTCAAGCAGTTTTTCCTTGGGCACTGCGATCACGCTCTCAGATCGCTAAGACCACCTCCAAC